TTTGTGTGGTTTTTGGTTGTTTTTTTTTTTTCCCCCACCCTCCCGTTCCCCCTCCTTTTCCTATTTTGTGTTTTATTTTTCCGCACCCCTGCCGTCCTTTCCATGTAGCAAAGCATCAGCAAAGCCGGGGCGCTGCAACGCTTTGGGGCCTACATGCAATGATTAATTGCAACTTCTCCAACTTTCCTCTTCTGGTGTTTGTGCAAGATCAGAAAAGATGAGTCCGTGGGCAAATGTCAGAGGGAACTTGCTCATTTTTTCCTATCTCTTGCAAAGCTCTCCCCCAAGCCTGGGGTGCTCGCCTAGAGCCAGAGCCAGGGAAGGCTGCTGAGATCTCTTCTGCTCTCACAAGGAAACACTCGAGCACGGATCGTATTGTCTCTCTGTGCTTCTGGAGTCGTGTCTGGTTCTCAGTTGTCACTTTAGATGGTTGAATGCCCCTGGTTTTCTGTGTAGCGGGAGTAGTATGTTTAAAGATTCAATTAGTGTTTTGCACATCAAGCAGTGAAGTTATTTAGTTTAATTATGTTGCATTTAATTAGCAGAGAAAAATCAATGCTGTTTTGTATTTTTTTATTGTAAGGAATAGCTAGGCAGTTGCCTACTGGGGAATGTAGGGTAGCAGTCTGAGTTGGGATGTGCGAAGTACAGTGTTCAGGTTTTCCAGGACAGCAGCCACCGATTTAGGAAAGATTCCTGTTTCGAAGGAATAAAGTTGGGAACAGTGCTTTCTGGTTTTGATCATTTGATGCTGGTTTGTTCTGGCTTCCGCGCTGCACTGTACATGAATATGTTCTCCTGCGATATGGTTCTGGAGCGGCCTGCAGGAATAAGCAGACTGGCTGCCTGGCAGCCGGCTTTTAAGTGCAGTACATAGGCATGTTTCCAGCTCTTAGCACTAAGTTACTGTCTAACAAGTGTGCATCACATCACGGGACAAATGTTATTCCAGAAATATCATAGGTTAATCCAATGCACAATCCCTTACATAGAATCGCAACATAACGCTTGCTTTGGGATTCTGGCTATGTCTTTTCAATGCTTACTGGTATATCGCTGCAACTGTTTGTCTGGGAAGCGGGTAACTGAGTAAGGAAGGTCTTAGCAGCATATATAGACCTGGGGCCAGCTCTAAAATAATTGTCACTTGTTTATGCTAGAAGTGAATTTGGCTTGGGATTTTAGTAACTGCTGATAGCGCTATAGACAGTAATTACAGATGTATAAATAAGTGATCACATTTTGTTTATTCGCGTGCAGTAAATAACCCTGTGAGAATAGTAAATATAACTCCACACCAGCGAAGCAGCGTGAAGAGTTCAAACACGGGAAGATGACTCTGTAGACACACACAAACGCAGTGCGATTCCATAAACAATAGAACAGAAAGGCCAAAAATACCATACAAAAATCATATGCTGCGCAACCTAGAGACCCGACCTTGCAACACACTGAACTCCCATTGAAGAACGCAAGACATCATGCGGGATCCATCCCCAGGTCAGTGCTGTAAATGTACAGTTTTGAAGATGCAATGGGTGAAGCCTTGATGTGGAGGCATTCTTTTTAGTGGGTGTGTATCGTAGTGATAATTTGCTGAACAAGAGAAACTGTAAATCTGGGAAACTGCTCTTTCAACTGCTTGTATATTCAAAGAAGGGTATTTAAAAAAAAATTAAATCCAGTCCAAATATAAACTGGAGGAGCAGAGATGGGGAAGGCGGGGCTGGAAGCCAGCTGTTTCAGTGCGGTACAGTCTTGATCACTGTTTCTAAGTGTTTGAACTTCTGATTGACACAAACAGTTCGGTTAATAGCGTCACCAAATAAACAGTCTGCAATACTGCAGTAATTCTGGGATAATATTTGTCAAAATGTATACAATAGTAGAACAAAGGATACAGAGTCATGAAAGAAATGCTATGAGGTCTAAGGTCTGCATATTTGTGTACATTTGAATTTGTTTTTGTCTTATGGGAATGGAAATACATGCAAAACCCATTATGTTGTAAACAGAATAGGCCGTTGCCTGATAACGAGCCATCTTGACAGGCTTCGGAGTTGGCTTGGGCTTTGGTTTGACTCCCATGTTCATCTAGTCAGGCTGCTGGGAAAAGAAGTGTTACCTTACAGGGTTACATCCCTAGAGATCTTATGTACATCTGCTCCCTGGGTCCTTAAATGTAACACCTCATCGGCACTTAATAAAAACAATAATAAATGATTAGAGATAACAGCTACCATCCTGTCCACCAAGAAGAGTGGACAAGAATCCCTCTGGAGCCTCTCTGCACTGTTGTTTAATCAACAAAAGCATCACTGTAGAGCTATTCAGAGCACTGCTTTGGAGTGAAGGGGAGCGATCTGGTAATGTAGAACAAGATGGTATATTTTGTTTTCGCTAGTATTAGACTGCCTGTTTTGTTACGCTCCAGCCAGGAGACTTCCAAATAATTTTTGGAAGCAGAACCCCCATTGACTTGAAGGGAAAGAATGGCAGCCAGTGTTGGTTTTTCATTACTGTGGAACTGTGACTTTCTGTCTTCACTTTCAGGAGATATTTGCTGTCACCCTAGTTAGTCTTATAGTTTTGATCTCAAATCCAAAACAAGGATGCCAAGAAAGAGTGGAGGAGGTTGCAGATTCTGCTTGGGTGTCCTGTTACCATGGCAATACATGAATTCATTTATTTATTTACCTGATGGATTACATGCTCCAGGGAGTTGAACTATTCTGCATCAATTCAGGGAGAGTAAGGGACCAGGTAGACACCATCAGGTCTAAACCGAAAGCTCTTCCATGAAGCAGGTCCATTCAAGAATGCCCTTAATTAAAACCCAAGAAAATATGGGTGCCATACTTGGACGGTTTAATCTATTTGATGTTTTTAATCTTTATCTTGTAATTTCTTGCAGGGTTTTCATATCCCATGTAAGCTTGCTTTTTCAATAGCTGTCTGCTAAAGGTTGTTTGAGATAACTGGTTCAAGCGTTAGCTACCTGGAGTGCAGTGAATTATCTGCATTCTGCTCAGGACTCAACTGGATGTATTTATTCCCAGCAGACTGAAAATGCTGTTGTCTTCACCTTTTACTCATAAGCATTTGCCTGATAAGCAAGTTCACTTCTCTGAAGTCTCTCTCCTCTGTTAGTCTTGGTGGTATAAACGTTTAGGAGTAGTCCCCAGAGAGCTCTGTTCTTAAGGAAAATGGCAAAATAGAAGAAACAATTCAGGAGGCCAGGTTATTCCCATCTTTATAGGAACTTAATGTTTGTTCGGAGTTCTCCACGCCAATGGACGTGATCCTGAATTGTGCATCTGTGAATGTTTTTGTATTAACGTGAAGTTTCCCGGGGATCTTACTTTTGGGGAGGATATATTTTGAACTGTAATCACCTCTTGGATCATTCTGTGGAAATTATCCTACATATTTTTTTACACCTGTACAGTTTTCTGCAGTTTCTCTTTGTCTAACATATGCTTAGGTGAGTTACTAGGCAGAACTCTTTCTCGGTTCAGTTGTGCATTCACCACTGTACCATGTTCTTCAGTAAAAGTGAGGGGCTTTCAAGTTCGAAGTTTTGCAGTTGACCAGTGTAAGTGCGTGCTGCTCTACTGGTGGTTTTCAAATGAAGTGAAAATTCTCTGTGAAATGTCTTGTCCCAGAATCTGAAAATGAAACGCTCCTAAAGAGTTCCTTCGCAGCCCTGAAGGCAATTCAGTTCCAATTCTTCCTTACTTGGGCTTTTACCACATGCTGCATTTCCTACTATATGCTGCTTGGATAGTGACATCACATGTGTGTTTTACTGTAACTTGTTTAAAAAGCATCAACAATTCAGTCTAGTTTTGTGTAGAGGCAAAATACAGGTACAAGATGATCACTATTCAGTGTTTCCTGCAAAATGGCACAAATTTTGCAATTCTTTTAAGTCAGCGTAGGCTTAACAGGTGTTCTGTTGCATAGCTTTAAGATTGGAGTGTTAGAAATGTAGCCTGTGGGATAACTGCCGCAAGACCGAGGTGGTCATAGCAGTTTTAAGAAGGAACTGGACGAGGAGTGGAGAAAAAAGACAGCTGAAGTCTACTGGAATGTGAAGCAGCTGGATTGTGCCTTAGTCAGTGAAAAAGCAGAAACTGGAAACAATTGCTAAATTTATTTTCAGTGCAAGCAATCGTTTTCCTTGAACCACAATGACTAAATATATCTATTGGTGTGATTTTTTTTTTTTTTATGTGGTGCTAACTCTTACTGGCTTTTGCTAACCTCCTGGCAAGCAGAGAGATGAGTGGAAGTTTGCTATCAGTCAAGATCATAATGCAAATGTCCCTCACCTAGGTCTTTGCTTTGCTTGCAGAGAACATTCCTTGTTTGTAAGGGACCTGTAGGCTGTCAGCATGGCTTTAGTCACTGCATTGTATTGCATGAGTGGAAGAAACATGTAACTGCTTTTTCAGGTTTCCTTGGGGTTTTATTCATCTTTTTTGGAAGTTAAGAATCGCAGTTGATACCTCAGCTGATATTCTAATAATTCTATCTGTAAGTGCATCTGTGCTGTATTAGAAGGCTCTGATGGAAAGGTGTGGGTCTTCTTTTTTTAAAAAAAAAAGATACATTAAGCCCTTATTTATTTCAAAGTTGAAAGCCTGTGGGTAGAATTGGCAAAATGAGCTTTGCTGTTGACTTACAAATCCTTTGAAAGGAGAACATTCAATTCAGAAGCTTACAGCATCTTAACTGCAAGTGGAGGAACATGAAGTGTTAACTTTCTAGACATTATTTTAAGGAAACAAGAGATGTTATACCTTTCCCTGGCAGAGGCATTTGATGCCTAATCAGATTTAATTCAAGCACTCAGTCATTATGTGCATTACAGGAGATGTCTAGGCAGTTCTCAGGTGGGCTACTGAGAGGTGACAGCTGGAATTGTTTGTTATCATAGCGTCTAATTTGGAAGATCCTTGTACCCCAGCAAAGGTAAGATGATAGAGAGCATCTCCCATCTTTGTGCCAGATAAAACTCCAGAAACTACGTAGTATATTAAAAACAACAAACTATATGTCAGAGCTACAGGTAAGGTGATTTAATAGCCGCCTTCCTCTCTCCTGCTCCTCATCACACCCATCATTTTGCATAGTTTGGATACATGTAAAGGATATAACTTGTTCCATTTTCCAAGGCAAATAATCCCAACATTTTTCTGCTGAAACTAGAGATCTGGAGTTTTGGTGTCTTTTGCCAGTTTGCAAAGCTATTGACCTCTGTGTACTGTTGCTTAGCAGTGAAATGAATCCTTCCAGTCTGTATTCTTCCTGTGGAGACTTTACAATATCTGGAGAACAACTTGTGCATGGAGAGGGATCCTTCAGCTTCTCAAAATTGTGATAGAATAGGCTTTTCTCCCCGAAAACAATTGAAAATTTATTGTTCTGTGAGTGCCTGAACATTGATTAATGTTAGCAAACTACAGGATTCAGCCATTGTCACGGAAGCAGTATGGAAGGAGTATTAAAATCAAGTAGCTATTGCAAAAATATTAGCTTCATTATTTGTCAGTTTTGTCTAAATAACCAAAGCTTAGTTTTCGTGGTATACAGTTGAGAAATATTGGAGAACAACATGGGATAAGTGGATGGTAATGGAAAACAGTGTGTTGTTCTCAGTACTTTAGTAGAGATTAGAGGAAAAGGGAGAGCTGGTTGGAGAAAAACTAGATTTATTCACCTTTGCAAATTCAAACTTGCAGCCCCAGAACTCCAAGGTGTATAAAAAGGAGGCCAGAGAGGGAAGAAGGGACATCACAAGGGGAGATGTTGATGGAATGGTTGGAAAGACCAGAAAAGGAGCGAGAGGATGCCCAACCCACGGATATTAGAAGAGGAGGAAATGGTGGGCTAAGTTGTGTGCAGGTAGAGCAGATAGGAAAAGACAGATGGATGACAAAAAGGGAAAGCGGGCAAGGAGGAGGCTCCTGGCGGTTTTCACAGGAGTCTGTTCCAAGGCAAAGAGACAGAAGATGAATTTCAGCAATCCGGAAAAGCTGCAGGAATCCTGCAGGTTGGGGCATGCTGCCAAAGGAACGTTCTCCAGTTCTGCTATTCACGTTACTGCAGCCTGACAAATTTACAGCTACATCACCTGACCCATAGCATCCACTCTTAAAAATACATTTCCGATCTCTTCTTGTGCTGTGACATTGATGCTGATAGAGGAAACAATTTCACATATGTGAGAGAGAAATGATATCCCCATCTATTATGTGAAGCAACCTGAGAAAGTTGATGGATCAGATTATTGGTCTACTTTTATTTGCATTGCATATTTCAGTTAAAGCTCTTCAGCTTTGAAACAGTCTCTTGATGTTAAATCTATTTGCTGTTTTAGTCGCTACCATAACTCATCTTCTCTGGAGTTTGTAAGGTAACGTTTTCATGTTGAGAGCAAGGAGGAAGGGAATAGAAACAAGTATAAGAAAGAGACGGTGTGTATCAGAGGATTC